AGATCAAAGATAGTTCTGATTAGATAGGATAGGATAGAGAAAGGATAGAAAGAAAGGAAAATGTGGAAAGGAGGACAGAGGACAGAAAGGAAGAAAGAAAGGTGAAAGGTGAACAGAGAGAAAGGGGAAAGAGAAGAGTGAGCCAGCAGACAGACAGATTGCGGCAAGGCCAACAGCTCAAAACGCATTTGCGTAGTCACATTTATGAATATCTCTCGATTTTATTAAAAATTAAAGTTCTGATCCAATTGGATTCTGGTGACTACCTGAGGAGGTAAGCGGTACTGCGGAAGAGTGTCGACACTCGCTCCAGTGACCATGGAGGAGACAATGGAGTCCCAATCGAGGGCGCTTTCCGCCGAGTCATGCCTGGATCCCTCTTCGGCCACTAACTGTACGTAATGCTGACTGTGCTGTGGCTGCTGATGCTACTACTCGCTACTGTCATTTCTTATTTCGCACTAAACTGACCCTTTTCTGCTTCACTTTCGCTAACCCTACTCTCTGCCCTTCTCCGATAGCCGAGAAGATTGACCCAGAGCAAACTGAGCCAGAGATGATTTTGGAGAATGGAACCTCGAAAGTACAGGTGAGTTGTTGGTAAATGTTAGCATCAGAGTGCAGAGTTGTGGGCTGTTTGTCCGCACGCATTAGCTATCAGCGACTGACACTGACAATAGTGCGTATTGCCAATGTTGTGTTGAGCATAGTTACTCCGACTGAAATTCAAATGCAATTGTCCATTTGACGAGATTTCTAGAATGACCACAAAAACTAAAGGCTGTTTGTCTGTTTATTTACAGGACTCCCTTGAACAGGACGCAGACCAAGGTATGTTACGGTCAGATGACCGCTTGCCCCACTACGCATTGCTCTGTTCTCACTGCTGTGTATTTGTTGCTCCAGCAGAAAGCGCATCGGGCTCGTCTGTTTCAGTGCCCTCTCACACTTCCGAAGATCCACTGACGATGATCAAGAGTGTTATCAAGTGGAAAAACAATGTCGGGTACTTGCCAGGCAGTGTCTGCCGATTCAAATTGGACTCAGCTGGCGAGCTATTGCTTGTGGCTGGCGATGATGGCTTGGAAGAGGAGCCATTTAGAAAAAGGCAAAAGCTGATGACGTCCGAGCTTTCAGACCAAGAATCGGAAGATGATGAAATTGCACGATGCAAAAACTGCAAAACATACGGGCTAAAGAGGGATTTCTTTAAAGATTCTAAATTTTGCAAAGACTGTATGCACTTGAATCCGACATACTACAAAATGTTCAAACAGCTGTCTCTGCTGTATGAGGAAAACAAAAACGACACCCCAAAGTCATCCACCCCAGCTACGTCATCACCTTCGTCTCCTGGCCATGGCGCCCTCAACCACTTTGACTTTAAAACATTCTCTTGGAAGACTTACATGGAAAAGAACAAATTCATTGCCATTCCATACAAGTCATTCCTGCCTTCCCAGCTGTGTCCGACTAAGGAGGACCGATTCCAATTCCAATTTCAAGTGGGCATGAAGTTGGAAGGCATTGATCCGTTTCATCCATCACGGTTTTGTGTACTCACTGTGACGGAAATAATCGGCCCTCGTCTCCGACTCCATTTTGATGGATACAAGCGAAAGTACGACTTTTGGGTGAACTCAAGCAACGAGTTCATCTTCCCAGCTGGCTTCTGCAGGAGCACCCATCGTAAGCTTGAGCCGCCACGAGGCATTGCAGCGGATGACTTTGTATGGGAGCGCTACCTTGCTGAGACCAACGCTGAGGCTGCCCCATGGACTCTTTTCACCTGCCCAACAGATGATCGTGCAAAGTTTGCAGCCGTGGTCGCCACTGGCTTCAATGTAGGCATGAAGCTGGAGGCAGTGGATCGAGCCAACAACAACCTAGTGTGTGTGGCGAGCATCAAAGACATTCTCAATGATCATCTGTTGATTCACTTTGATGGCTGGGATGACAGTTACGACTACTGGGCCCACCACACATCACCGCTCATTCACCCCATCAACTGGTAAGAGTTCGGTATCACTTTACAAACAAATCAAAAGTTTTCAATCCTATCTCTTCCTACAGGTGCAAGTCAAGAGGGAAGCCACTGACAGCGCCGAACAACTATCAGGGTGGTGAGGCTTTTAACTGGGATACCTACCTAGCTGAGACTGATATGGTTTCAGTGCCTGCACGCGCCTTCAAAACAAAGATTAACAACAGCTGGAAGACGGGAATGAAGTTGGAAGCCTTGGATCTGCATAACCCTCGCTTCATTCGCGTGGCCACAATTGCCAGTCGCACGGGGCATTTTGTGAAAATTCACTTTGACGGCTGGGATGACAAATACGACTATTGGGTACGTTGAGGAACACTTCTTCTTTTCTCTAACCAATGTTGAATTGTTGCTTTCAGATTGATGACGACTGCCCTAACCTCCATCCAATTAATTGGTGTTCCCAGGCTAATCATCCTCTACAGCCGCCTCCATCATTTGTCCAGAGTATGTCAATTTAAAGTGTTTGTGTTTTTATTAGCTAATTCTCTTGTTTCCTAGACTCTAAAAAGACCAAAACAACTTGTACAGTTACAAACTGCAATGGCCGTGGGCATGTTCGCTGGTACAATCACAGGCGTCACGACACAGTGGAGGACTGCCCGTACAGTGACAAAAACTTGGACACTGAGCCGACTGATCGATATGAAAGTGACAATGAATCTGTGGAGAGCGATGAAGATGAAGGTGGTGAGGACGAAGATGATGATGATGATGTGGAAAACGATAAAGAAGCAGAAAACTTAGAAGTCAAATCAGAAGAAGAAAAAGACGGTATCAGTGAAGAGAACCAACAGGACCAAATGGAAATGCCAATTACAAATGGCGTTTTCAGTTTCAGCACAGAGGAAGATGAACAGGACTTACTCAACTACAGCATTGCTTTGCTGGAACAGGACTACTGCACAGTCAAACAAAAGAAACCAATACTGAGCAGATGCAACTACCTACTAAATGGTAGCGAGGGAGAGTTTGAGCTAAAGAAGGTCACCACTTGGGACTACACTCTTGTTGAACGATTTGTGCGAGCTCTAACTGGCGATGAACAGTCTGCTGCTTTGTTTTCGGACGAGGTAAGAGTTAGGAGTGACTGCTCTAAAGCGTTAGATCTAAATGTTAATTACTTTTCTCTACTACTTCTTGACCACTACCACAGAAAATTGACGGCGAGGCAATGTTGCTGCTAAAGCAGAGTGACATCACTGATCAGCTGCACCTCAAGCTGGGACCTGCTACGAAGTTATACAGTTGTATTGCCGAAATAAGGGCGGCTTTGTTGGCTAAGGATTATGGTCATCAGCAGGTGCAGGAATGAAATTTTATGTAACTGTGTCCACTGGATAAGGGTCACTGGTTTGTTGGCGGTTTTTAGTGTACATTATTGAGTCCGCTGGTGTGTTTAATTCAGCCCTTTCAGTGTGTTCCCTTATGTGTACGTGTATATTTATTATCTCCTCTAGTAGTTTACTGTTGTTTTGTTGTATTAAAGTACTGTAGACTATAAGCCACTGGCATTGTGTACACTGCCCTGGCCACTACCACCACCACCACCTGGACACGGGTGCCCAAACCTTGAAGTGAATGAGAATGAGAGAAAATGTGTGTGTGTGCAGCGAAGCACAGAATCCTCACTAGGCAGTGGCACTGTGACGCATGACCCATGTGAATCCCCATCCCCACATTTCGATTGGTGCCACCGGTACACTTCTGCTGGTCGCTCAAACACACACACACACACACACCTGATCGCTTTGGAAACGGCGACGACGACGACAAAGAGAAAGGACTCAAAAGTAAAGAGAGTGAGAGGTAGTATTTCTAGTAGCCAGGCATTTCGCATTCCGCTCTTCTGCTCGACGATCGCCGAGCCAGCGCCGTCGAGTGTCGGCGTTCGGTTTTGCCGACGATCGCCCGCTTCAATTCTGCCGTCGCTTCTTCTTTCTCTCGCTTTGTCTTCTGTTTGGACTAAGCTTCATTCGCCCCAACACAACAGCCCGTCAGTCGTCGCAGTGGTCGCTGTTGTCTTCAGGTGGATCGCATAGAAGACAACACCACCACTTCAGCCTATGTTTGCTCAGTTTGTGGCCACCAGAAAGGCCACTTCTGCACCCGCAGAATAATGTGATACTCACCTCCTCCCCTCTTCTCCTCTCTTTTTCCTCTTATTTTCCTTTCTCCTGGAACTCGCTGGGCCCTCTGTCTGTGTGTCTTCATTGTGTCCACCCAGTCTGTCGACACATTACCACACAGATTCAGTGCCTCCCCATCAGGCCGTCAATACGTCTTGCGATGAATAGATATGTGAAGCTAAGCCAGCTGGGAGATGGCACATATGGCTCGGTCTTTCTCGGCCAAAAAATCGATTCCGGCGAGAAGGTGGCCATCAAGAAGTAAGTGCTTTCTCGGTGCACGCTCTCACCACTGACCACTGATGCAGCTAATTGTCCTCTTCTTTGTCTCTCCCCCTCTTTTCCCTCCCATGTCCGATCTTCAGAATGAAACGCAAGTACTTCACCTGGGAAGAGTGCATGAACCTAAGGGAAGTTAAGGTAAGTCTACTCTTGTCTTGCTCCTGACTCTGCTGGCTTTGCTGGTCACTCGCTTTATGGCCAATATGCGCGTCTTCTCTTATTCAATTGTTCTCCTTTGTTCACTCTGCTGGCGGTTAGTTCATTGTCACAGTCCCCATGGAATTGATAACTTCCGATTGCTGCAGACTGCAAACTGAATGACTACCAAAAGACCGGGAGATGGACTCGATTAGATCAGAAAAGGGGCCACAACCGATTAAACGGTACTTGCTGGCCAGAGTGCTTGCTCGCATTAGAGGGGCAATTAGAGCGGCTGATGATAGTCGCAGTAACAGTATCAGCAACTGCCAACAACCAACTCTCTCCCTTTCCTTTTGCCAAAGTTGATGATGTCGTTGCCTGGAGAGACCCCACTGTCTGGAGCTGTGTACCGGCTATACTTTCCAGCAGTACATTCATGACTGTATCTCACTGCAATTACCCCCTTCACTTGGGACGCCACTTCCAAGTAGTCGGTGTCTCGCTCTCATTAGGCTCATTGTACGGTTCATTCGTCTGCGATGTGGTGTAATGACAGTGCTTTGCCGCCAGTGCACATCAGCAGTGCCACTTTTGCTGCCATTTCAGTGTCACTCGCTTTCAAGTGCACCCTTCTCCCTCTTTCAGTAATGGTGTGCCTTTCTACCCTGAACTGTCATTAAATTTTCAAAATTATCACTCATCTCTCCCTCTCTTTTTTTCACTACCAGCACTGCTATCACTTTCTAAACATGGTAGCAGCAATATATATTGGAGAGTTCGCCTAACTTAGCTTCCCACTTGAGCACTTGATCAGCAGCACAGTGCCAGTGCCAACTGCCAGTGACTACCGCGCACAAAGCAGTGGTATCACATCGGTTGTACGACTACTGCTGCTGTTGTTGTTTTGTTTACCCCACTTGATCATTTGTTTTGGGTATTTCGCCTGTGGAGCCAATATACAAAAAACAGTTAATGACGCAAAGGAGAAAGAAGGTATCACGCTGCCGCATTCAGATTAATTTCAGCCGTGCACATTCGGGGAACGATCTGAGAACAAAACAGTCAGCCAAGGGCCACTGTACAGTTTCACTGGTGGCGCACCAGGGAGACAACTGCAATCACAGAGAGCACTGTCAGCACCGTCTTCTTCTGTGTTGTGACTGATTCAGGCTTTCTGTTAGTTTCAGTCTCAACGCGCGAATCAATTGCCAACTTCATTAGCAAGTGGCGTTGGTGGCGACGACAGACGCTCTCTTCGCCTCTTCCCGGCGCCACCGTGGCGACAGTGAGGGAGACAACGGCAAAGACAACGACCAACACGACGTCCTCTGCTCGATAGAGCATCGACTTGTGTCTCCTTGGGCGTCCGGCTCCGTTTCGAGTCGAGGACTGTGTCGGTCATCGCTGGGGTGGCCAGTACCAGACGTGCACTCAGTAGGGAGACCAACAATTTGGCACCACCTGTGCGAGCGAGAAAGAGAAAAAGCGCGTGATTGCACTCTCTGTTCATGTGATCGTGGGTAGAGAGAAAGAGTGAAGGAGAAGAAGATGATCAGAAATGAGGTAGATGTAAGTGCTGCTACTACTGCTTTTCTGCGTAACACTATCACTTGTGTAATTGTGCTTCCGGTCAGCAAGGCAGCGACAGCAGTTGCACAGCAGTTGCACAGCACATCAACGCAGAGTGTGTTGAACCGGTCCGAACTAGTCTGACCTCTGAAGCTGAGAATAGTCTGATGATGATGATAATGCAGTGGATGTGCAGTGGTTGTTGTGACATTCACTCACTCTCGGCGGACCGGGGCAGGCAAAGTGACCTTGCCCAAAGGAGAGAGCTAATGTTTGTTTGCTCTCTTCTTCTCTTTCTTACTGTCTGCTTGCTTATTCGCGTCCAAAAAAAGCCGGCCCCATTCGATCGGTTTGAGGATCGAGTCACTACAAAAGTGTGCTAACTTTTTACTATCTTTCTTTTCCCTTTCCCCCTCTCTCCCTTTCACGCTTCCAATGCCTAACTACACCACTGTTCACGCTGCAGTCACTGCAAAAGTTGAGCCACCCGAACCTAATCAAGCTGAAGGAGGTGATACGTGAAGATAACCAGCTGTACTTTGTTTTCGAATACATGAAGGAAAACCTATATCAGCTGATTAAAGACAGGTGAGTACCGGTGTGGGGATGATGCTAGTGCAGGTGCAGGTAAAAGTCCTCTACAACTGCCAGTCGATGTTTATGGTACGCTGACTTTGTGTTAACCGGAGGCAAACTTTGCACTGGACACAAACATTGTCTTGTGTTGTAAAACAACTCAAGAGCAGATAGTGCTGTTTGCATTAGTCTCACTATCTCACTATCAGTGGATTATAAACAAGTCTATGTAAGTGTGTGTGACTTGTTGATTGAGTAAATCCGCCGACAACGATCACACGGAACTAAAGGGCACGGGGGACAAGGAAGTTAGGAATTGCATCAGCTAATTATTGAACTGCTCTATACTCCCTCCAGAGAGAACCCCTTTTCGGAGGCGATCATTCGAAATATACTGTACCAAATATTCCAAGGCCTCACTTTCATGCACAAGCACGGCTTCTTCCACCGGGATATCAAGCCGGAGAATCTGCTGTGCATGGGTCCGGAGCTTATTAAAATCGCCGACTTTGGACTGGCACGGGAGATCAGGTCGAGGCCGCCGTACACCGACTACGTCTCCACTCGCTGGTACCGGGCGCCGGAGGTGCTTCTCCGCTCCACCAACTACTCATCGCCCATTGACGTCTGGGCAGTAGGCTGCATCATGGCCGAACTGTACACGCTGCAGCCACTTTTTCCCGGGCGCAGTGAAATTGACCAAATCTTCAGAGTTACCTCAGTGCTGGGCACGCCGGACAAGGTAAGATGAGATGGTAACTAGAGAAATTAAATCAACTAACTTTTGATTCACCAGAATGACTGGCCCGAAGCGTACCAATTGGCGAACATGATGAACTTTCGCTTTCCTCAGTTCACGCAAATACCAATAGAGACTATAGTGCCTAACCTCTCCAAAGATGCCTTGCACCTGCTGAAGGACATGCTCCAGTGGAACCCCTCGAAGCGTCCCACTGCAGTGCAGTCACTCAAGTACGCCTACTTTGCCAACGTCGACCTGTCGGTGACGCCGATGTCGGAGAAGACGGTGACCAATGTGAAGACGGCGCCGAACATGTCCGAGTACAAAAAGTCGGCCGCCTCGCACTACCAGTCGAGCCAGAGCAAGACGATGCCCAGCTACGTTCAACNCGCCGAACATGTCCGAGTACAAAAAGTCGGCCGCCTCGCACTACCAGTCGAGCCAGAGCAAGACGATGCCCAGCTACGTTCAACCGAGCTCGCCCAATGTCGACAACCACAGCATTCAACAGCTGCAGATGCAAATTGGCAGTCAGATGCCCAACGGTAATGGGCCGCTGAGCAGTAAGGTCAGCAGCAACAGCAACGGCACTAGCAATGTGATGATCAACGCAAAAAGTGCCGTCAGCATGAAGGACCAGTACCTCGCTCGGTCAAGATACATTGCCGGGCAGAACACTAAAAGTGGACTGTACAAGAACTCAGGTAAGAGCTGCTGAGGGATCAATGTCCACTGTAGAAGCTCTATCCATTTGTTCATTGTTCTCTGCTTTTTTTCATTGCAGTTTTAAGTCAGAACTCAGTAAACAATGGTTTCAACGGTAGGAAGAACTCAATAAGCAACAACTCCGTCGGTGTGCCCAGCGCCAGGAGTCACCTTTCCTCGACGCACTTTGGAAAAACTGACTGGTCTGCCAAGTGAGTGCACTCTTCAACCAACAGTCTGTGTGTTTGTTTTGCTCACCTAATCAACCACTGTTCCTCCCCCTCCTCCCTCCACCAACCACAGGTACCTGTAAACTGCGTTCCCCACTGCAAATGGGAACAGCTCAAGCTCTTTCTTTCTTTCCTTCCATTCACCTCAAATCTCCTGACTCCTTGTCCTTGTCCGGCGCTCTCTCGCTCTCTCGCTTTTTCTCTTTCTTCCTTTCTTTCTTTTCACTGCATCAAAGTGCACTTTGTAAAAATATATCGAAAAGTAAAGCAGAGTAAATTAAAGCAAATCAAATCAAAGTATGCTGACTGCAATAGCCGTAAAATCCGAGCAGTTGTAGTCATGCTGCTCTAGACAGTCTGTCTTATGATGGTCAAAGTCGATCGAGAGCGACCAGAGAGCGAAGCTCGATGCCAGTGCAGCACCTCAGCACTCCCTCACTCTCTTTCTTTCTCCTTCTCCTTCTCCAGGTGACAAAGTCATCAATGGTGACAACGACCAGTGGCAGAGCAGTTCTTGGATGCAGTCGCACTGGCGGTGCACAGAGTCCTCCTGCTACTGTTGTTGCTGCCGTTGGTGGTGGTGATAGCGAGGCAAGGAAGGCGCCGGTTGCGTCAGCCAGTTGAAGATGCTGCTCCGGTTGCTGCACCAAATTTGGATGCTAGGGCGCTCATCGGGGATGAGACACTTCACTGGAAACACGAGAACGCGTGTGTCGTTCTCCTCCACTGATTGCCTACCGACTGCTCTTCAAACCGCCACATGAAAGACATCGAAAGTGACTGGCACTGATTTGGAGGGTGATTTGCCCACTGATTGGCACCGCTCAGGATGGCGATACTTTCCTGGCTTGACTGCCATTGGCACAACGGCCCACAAAGGAGACACACATAAGGATCTCTTTTAGGTCGCAGAGCAATCACACAGGAGCTGCCAATAGCGGCTCGAATCAGCAGGCATCACACCGGGCATATCATCACTGCAGCAAAACTGATTGAACGTTTTAGCGAAGAAAATGGTGGTAACCACTGCAGTGTATCTTCAGTGCAATAAAGTGTGGCCAGACAGGACACGAGAGCATTGTCACAGTGCCTCCAGTCAGGGTCGATCGGTCCTTCTGTCTGTCTGCCTCTGTTGTGACCACTGGAATTGAGCTGAGTTGAAGTGATAGTGCCACTGCCGCTGCTGCTGCTACTGGCGCCGGGTAAAAACACACGATAGTGATCAAAAGAATAAACAATGCTCGAGGACAACTGGCGAGTCCGAGGGGAACAGGCGAGAGAGAAGGACAGAGCAACAAACATCAATTGGAAAAGAGAAAATAAAGAAGTGCACACTGCGACTGCGGTCGCTACAAAGTGCCAAGTGCTCTGAAAGTTTGAAAGTTTGAGTTGGCTCGCTTTTCTCTCTCTATTTTCCCTCGTATGTTTCAGTTTAGCTCGCCACTGCGAAGCTCCCTGACTGGAATGAACTGGACGAAAGCGGTACTGCGTTATAGGATTCACCACACTTCTCCCGGTGAGTCTCGCGAAATGAAAACGAGCCGTGCAAAAGGCGCCAAGCGATGCAGTCAAGTGGTGTGTCACTCTGTCTGCTTTTCGCTCTTTCTCTTCAGTGGTATTGAGGCTGCAATGAACTAAACTGAACTGAACTGAGCCGCAGCTGGTACACTGTCCATGTCACATCAGCCACATTGGCAAAGGGGGATACCAAGAAAAAAGTGAGAATTAGGCACAGGACGAAACAAATCCTTGGACAGTGGTCCTTCGAAGGACCGCAAGATCAAAGGACGAGGGCCACAATTACCCGACTTGCATTGCACCTACAAACTGGTTGACAATCTGTCGGCAATCTCCCCCATCACCACCACCGCACACTTCACTTGCAACTGATCGGTGATAGCTCTTCACCACTGAACTGCCTGTACCTCGAGCCTCTACAGTGTGACTACTCACTTCAGTGGGTAGTCGACTGTATTGTACGCCGACTCCAGTGAATGCTAATAATTATTTATTGTAAAATAAAATAAAATAAAATATGCACTGCCTGAGTGTTGAACAGTGTAGGATACGCACTTTGTCACTCGGTTCGGATCGCTTCACTGCTAGTAGTCGCTGATCCACTTCATCGGACCTTTGGACCACTCCGCCCCTGATGGCGGCTGCAACACTGTCACTATGGCTGTAGCTGTACACGGCAGTGCTAGTGCCCAGTGCGTGCGAGAGCGATCGAGTGAGGTGGTGTGACGTTGTGTGCAGCAGCAGCAGTAGTAGTAGTACCAGAGAAGAGGAGGCTGAAGTCTACGGAGACAGCGGCAGAGTGTCTGATGCGCGCCCACAGTTAAAGTCGCAGTGGCAATCATCAGAACACCGATTACGCTGTCTGTGGCAAGCGCGTTTGGCTGTATAAAAGGCGACGCATTTGCTGGCAGAGTCTTCAGTACTGCAATAGCAGACACAAGCCACTGAGCCACTGATCTTCACGAATCACTCGTCTTCCGAGCACTCACTTCTTCCTCTCTTCCTCTCTGCCATACTGCACAAATGACTTTGTCCTCCTGACTATCACGGGCCCTCGCTCTTCTTCTCCCTCTTCACTTCCGCCAGATTGATGACGTTCTCCTCCCAGCAGCTTCAAAAGCTTCCAAAATTACTCCGATAACCACAACACAGATTTTCGGGTGGGCAACTACTCAGCAGGTATGTACAGCGCTCGAGCAACTTTTCAGCAGCAGCGGCTGTCCTTCTTGCCAGCGCTAGTTCAGAACGTCGTTACCGAAAGTCGCAGGAACTGATGTTTTGCCTTCTCTTTCTCCACTTCCTCCTTCCTCTCTCAGGGGTATCAGGTTCGACCCCTCGACATCAATTCATACATCTTTGAATTGAAGCACTTTGAGGGCGATCCGCCTTGGCACAGCTGAAACGGTTAGGCACAAGTACAGGCCATAGATTGCCGGTAAGTAATGCTGGTGGTGGTGTAAGAGAGAGCGGGCACCAGTTGTCCTCTCTCACGCTCACCGCTGTCTCCCGCCACTTGCCTAACACTGCCTCCTTTACAGCACTTGCAAATTTAAATCGAAACACGCTCCACCCCTGCCAATTGACCGCCGCCGCCGCTGCCGTCACCGCCAAACCCCAGCACCACCGTCTCTGTCCACTGTACCACCACCACCCCCAAACCGAACTAACCATGAAGCTGACCGTTCTGGAGAAGCTCTTCAGCGAGAACCCCTCTCTGGATGACATCATCCGGGACACCATCGACAAGCGCAAGAATGAGGACGCCTTCTACGTGTGCGACGTGAATGACATCCTCCGCAAGCACAAGACCTGGCTCCTCAAGCTGCCCCGCGTTCGGCCCTTCTACGCCGTCAAGTGCAACTCGTCGCCCATCGTCCTCGAGATCCTCGCCTCGCTGGGCATTGGATTCGACTGCGCCTCTAAGGTGAGTGTCTCAGAGTGATCAATACTTGATGGTCAACAACTAACTTGTCCTTTGTCTTCACTCTCTTTCATGCAGACTGAAATCGACACGATGCTCGACCTAGGCGTCGCTCCCGATGATATCATCTACGCGAACCCCTGCAAGACCAAGTCGTACATCTCGCACGCCGCCTCGATGGGCATCGACTACATGACCTTCGACAATGAACTGGAGCTGTACAAGATCCGCCAGATGCACCCCAACTCCAAGATGGTCATTCGCATTCGCGTCGACGACAGCCACTCTGTCTGCCGACTGGGCCTCAAATTCGGCGCCGACATGGCCCGAGTGCCCTTCCTCCTGCAGGTGGCCAAGAAGATCGGCGTGAACGTCGTCGGCTGCAGCTTCCACGTGGGCAGCGGCTGCGAGAGCGTCGAGGCGTACAAGAGCGCCCTCGCTAACGCCAAGTTCGTCTTTGAGCTCGGTCAGAAGATGGGCTTCAACATGAACCTCCTCGATATCGGTCAGTTACCCCCTTCCGCAGTGTTTACATCTTCTTTGCGATCATGAACCCGTGTAACCCCTTCTCTTCTCTTTATTTAATTTATGCAGGCGGAGGATTTCCTGGTACTTCGAACGCTGCCATTTCCTTTGACGAGACCGCCAGTGCAATCAACGAGGCGCTGGAGCTGCACTTTCCTGAGTATGATGCCGACGGCTGCAAGAGCAAGGTGCAGATTATCGCTGAACCGGGTCGCTACTACGTAAGTGCTCTCTCTATTCACCGCATCCACTACTTTCCCTCTCCTGTTGATGAGAGGGAAAAGTGGTTGATGTAAACAAGCAGGAACTGGTTCTCATCAACAAACTCTCTTTCCTACCACTTCATCTGTAGGTTGCCTCTGCCTTCACTCTGGTGACCAATATCATCGCCAAGCGCATCGTCCCGCTGGAGGACGGCAGCAACACTCTGGCCAGCATGTACTACCTGAACGACGGCGTCTACGGCTCCTTCAACTGCACCATCTTCGACCACTGGAAGGTGACACCGGTGCCCTTTCCCATGCACGGCGACTTCAACGCCCGCCAGTGCCGCCTGTCCACCATCTGGGGCCCGACCTGCGACAGCATGGACTGCATCATTCAGAATGTGGTTCTCCCGGAGATGAACATCGGCGAGTGGATCATCTTCCGAGAGATGGGCGCCTACACCATGGCCGCCGGCTCCACCTTCAACGGTTTCAAGATGCCCAGCATGAAGTACTACCTGCCGTCGTACACCACCGAGGTGCTGCAGACGCTGAAGAACTGGTCGCGCATCTACCGTCTGGTCGAGGAGGCCCACAATGAGGACTCGGTGGAGGAGGATGACTCGCTGCTGGAGACCTTCATTGACGATGACCACGCCGTCGTCGTCGACAATTACATTCACGTCCATTGCTAAGGCGGTGAGCAACAACAACAGCAACGGCTCTTTTCCCATTCAAAATCCAAAATCAGCAAACCAGCAGCTGCTTTCACCTCTGTTCGGTTGGCGCCTATTCGCCCTCGGACTATGTTCAGCAGCTGTTGCCGCCATCGCTGGGTCCATTCTCTTTCTCTCTCTTTTATTTCGATTTACAAATTGCAAGTGCTTCGGTTTTCTATGTTTCTGCTATCTTGGGCCAATCCACCACCACCACAACTTTCCCCTCTACCGAACGACTTTATATAATTTTGTACTTTACAAATCTGCCCCCCTTTTACAAGGACTTTATTAATTTGATATTTTAATAAAGACTATATAATTTATTGTATAACCTTTATTTTTGCTCCAAATTGTTTTTCCAATATCTTCCCCTCTTCTGTTCTGTACAACTTTATTTTACCAAATAAAAATCTCTAAACAATTCACCAATCAGCCTATCCCTAAAAAAATTATTTATCTTCCTAAATATTCGACAAACCAGGCGACAAATGACTCAACAGTAAAGTTAATTCTAGGCAAACGAATTTAACAAACAACAATTCGCTGACTCACAACATCGAACTTAATTATTATTGTATTTATCTGGGAAAGTAAAGTGTTACAAATCGGAACTATTTAAGAGTAAACGATTTTTCAACCAGATCTAAACTTGTGACTTTTTACTGATGAGTGGCAAAAAGAGCAAAAAGTCGACCGTTTCGAAGCCAAGTAGAAAGAGTAAATCCCGAAAGTCTGATAAAACTAAAAAGAATAAAAAGCCAACATCAAAAAGCAAGGCCAACTGTTCGGCTCNCGAACTTAATTATTATTGTATTTATCTGGGAAAGTAAAGTGTTACAAATCGGAACTATTTGAGAGTAAACGATTTTTCAACCAGATCTAAACTTGTGACTCTTTACTGATGAGTGGCAAAAAGAGCAAAAAGTCGACCGTTTCGAAGCCAAGTAGAAAGAGTAAATCCCGAAAGTCTGATAAAACTAAAAAGAATAAAAAGCCAACATCAAAAAGCAAGGCCAACTGTTCGGCTCCTCGAGCTCCCACCTTAACTACTGTGGATACAATTTTGATCGCTCCGTCAGACTATGTTCCCGTTTTTCATCGTGAAATGAATGAAATTAAAGTCGCAGAGGCCCCAACACAGGGAGGCTCAGTGGCAAATGCTGTCAGTGATTGTCAGGATGACCAGGGAAGCATGATCAGTAGAGATACTCAAGTCGTCAAGTCCAAGAAAAGTTCAGCTCGATCTAAAAGCAAAAGGAGTNGAAATGAATGAAATTAAAGTCGCAGAGGCCCCAACACAGGGAGGCTCAGTGGCAAATGCTGTCAGTGATTGTCAGGATGACCAGGGAAGCATGATCAGTAGAGATACTCAAGTCGTCAAGTCCAAGAAAAGTTCAGCTCGATCTAAAAGCAAAAGGAGTCAAAAACCAGGGTCAAAGAAGAGCAAGGTTTCCTCTGGTCGACGGTCCAAGTCCAAGTCGGCGAAATCAAAGAACAAGAGCAAAAAGACGGATTTTCTAGTGCAACAATTTCCCAAGCTGTCCGACTATGTAGTGGAATCAATCAATGCGCGCATTGACACCTTTCCAAAACAATTCGACCACAACTGCAGCAAGAAGTGCTCGTGCTCTAAAGGAAAAAAGGAAAGAAAGAGCAAAAAGAAAAAGAAGAAAAAATCGCGAGATCCTAGTTAGTGTTCACTTGGTTCACTTGGTAAACATTCCATTTTCAATATTTGCATTGTACAGATAGTTGATTGTAATAAAAGAGTGCTCCGAAGATATTATCAGCACTCAACAAAATTTTAAACTTCATGTTCAGTAACAAAACTGAGTTATTAACTGGTTGAAGTGAAACACTGTATGAGAAAGATGTTCTAGAAACTTGCTTTGCCACTTCCAGTCACTGAAAATTCCAGTATCCCTCAATCTCTCTCCATTTCTCACTCACTCAATCGGAGTCGTAGTGCGCGCGCAGATTTTTTTATTTTTAATAAAGTACGTCCTCTACGACCGGGACTCACAGGGAAACGCACACCGACGCTGGCAATTTTTTGTCCTCTTCCTTTCACGACGACGCCAAGCCGATTACATCGACTTCCAACCCAAAACCGCTCCTAACTCACCATGGGACAACAGAACATCTGGTTTTCGCACCCCCGAAAGTTTGGCCCTGGCTCTCGCCACTGGTAAGTACCCTCAGACCACAGGTTTGGCCTGATTTTGCTCTTCAAAGACTCTGCAGACACTTACCTGCTTTTATTCTGTTTATTTACAGCCGAGTCTGCAGCAACCACCACGGTTTGATCCGCAAGTACGGCCTCAACATGTGCCGTCGATGCTTCCGACAATACGCCAACCAGATCGGCTTCAAGAAGCTGGATTAAGCGAGCAAGATGATGTATTTTTCGGTTAATTTCAAAAAATAAACATCACAAATGAGTGCACTCGCGTGCTTTCATTTCTCCTAAACCCTTCGTTCTCTCTTTATTTATTTGTTGCTAAAAGCATCGTTGTGTTGATATCTCTTTTGGTTATCTGAAATTAAAACCGAATCCTGTCAATTTTAAGCTCAAAAGCACCACTCATTTTGCCGGTATGCAAGTGTCAAGGTTTTGTGCTCAAAGGATTAGGTTTTAATTTGAGTTTAATTTGGACGCCTAGTTTCTTACTTTTGTCGTGTTCCTAGTTTCTAGCGTCATTTAAGGTGTTTGACACTTGTAAAACAAAAGATCCAAATAAAGTGGATCCTGAATCCAGCTGTGCTTAGGATAACGCCATACATGAAGGTACTCCAAGCTGCCTAGCAGTGCAAGCAGGCAGCGCGATGGGCACTGAAAATATATAGCACATGGTCGTGTTATTGCTTGCTGCTGCTACTTTTAACTTTAACTTTTCTTGGATCGCCTCCTCTGCCTCCCTCCTGTGCCTTACTGTGCTCCCTCCTCGCCCGCCAAGGAAAATGATTAGCTCCGCAGTGATGGAGCCAACGGGCGTTCTCGTCGGCGACGAACTCGGCCAAATAAAGAAGATCGACCTCTTCAAGAAGGAAATAAACACCTTCAACCTGTGCCCAAAGGAGCAATTGCATCTGTCACGTGGCGTCGTCTCCATATCTCCTCTCACCTTTGACTTGCTCAACCAAAACTTTCTCATCGCCAATAAGGCCAATTCACTGTTTACCTACGATGCACTCACCGATGAGATTCAACCAGTCGAGTACAGTGTGGAGAACAAGTCCAACCTGGTGAGCGGTCAGTGCATTGACGACCAAAATATAGTGATTGGATTCAAAAATGGATCCATCTACAAGCTCAACATTGAAAAGGCCCTCTGCTCGGCCAAATATAAGCCTAACAGCAAGGCGCTGAACATGTTAGGCATTGAAAATCAACTACCGCCTGAAAACACTAAAACGGAAACGAAAAAGAAAAGGAAAAAGCAAAAGACTTCAGCTGAAACGGCAGTCCATTTGAAGGCGTCCAAGACGGCAAATGAGTCTCTTCAAGAGACGGAAACAAATAGCACTGTGACAATCTGTGAGCCCAACTGGAATGTGGAACAGACCTACTTGACGTGTTTTAAGGTGTGCAACAACAAACTGGCCACTGGTGGCTTCAACTCAGACTTGAAAGTGTACGACATGTCTACTGGGCAGAGTATTTTTGCCGCCAAACCGACCAACACCGACTGGCTGGGCATCACGCATGATATCTGGCTCAGTGGACTCGACTGGATCATCAACGACAACATTGACCCTCACCTGATTGCCACCTGCTCGAGAACGGACCCCTGTATAAAGATCTACGACATAAAAGAGCGCCAAAAAAAGCCCATCATGTCGATCAACTTGAAATCACTAAACAACGCCAACAACGAATCAAACCTGCCTTCGCTCACCAGCATCTGCTCACTGCCCACACTGACCAGTACGGCTACGCCGTCGACTAGTCTGGTCGCCGGGACGACCCTCGGTCGGATGCTCGCCTTTGACTTGCGCATCAACACTCGTGCCTCCAAGACACTGGGCGGCTTCAAGGGCTTCGGTGGCGGATCAATTCGAGACATCAAATACGTTCGTGACAGTAAAATTTCCAATAAAATCTTCTCTTGCAGCCTCGACCGATTCGTTCGTGTGCATACCTTCACCAAAACGACGCGCATACTGGAGAAGAAATTCTACATTAAAACGAAGCCCACGTGTCTGTATCCAATCATCGCCACCACCGCTGTTCCCAGCAATGATAGCGAAAATGAGCATCTAGACACGCTCGAGGATGACGATGAGTTTTTCTAGTTGCTACCTCAATCAGTGTTTGCCTGTATTTTTGCTAGTTATTTATACCTCTTCCCTTTTTGTTGTACCGACGCAGTTGTTTTGCAAGCGGAAACTCAAACGCACACTCAATCATAGTGGCAATAAACATTTACTTTTTGTAAATCGATAAAAGCAGTTTGTATTTTTATTGACTAAAGATATTGTCGAGTATGCATAAACAAGAATTACAATGAACTTTTGATGGTATAAAATCAGTTAGTATGAATGCTGCACAGAATGGGCGTTTGGTGTCTGTAGAATATGGTCAAAGTTAATTACTCGGGATAATACTCAAAGTAGCCAATGTAGCTGTCGCTTTTTGCCGGTGCAAACACTGTCAGCTCAAATTGTTTGAGGTTGGGGAAGAATTGCCTGTAGACCTGTTCAATGGCTTCTCCATCGACTTCTCTGGCCACCACCAAACTGAGCTTCTCGAGCAGAGGAAAGAGTCTGTTGACGATTGTGCAAAAGCCAAGGCCATCAAAATCGCCAGTGTCTCGGGCGTAGAAGCGATTCAGTCGGAGCTGAGTGACCGTCTCCAAAGGGCGCAAATCAAAGTTGAGCGTAGCTGCAATGTCCAGCTTAAAGCAGATTAGCTCCAGTTTGAAAAGGTTTGAAAGGCCAATCATTTTGATAAAGATTTCAGGGTCTAGCGTTTGATAGATCTTGAAATAGGAAAACAGTAATGTTAGTTTAGCGATTTCGTAAAGAGGACAATAAACTTACATATGAATTGGGCACATCGGCACTACCGGCGCACCACTCGAACTGAACACGAAGGACATACAAGTTTTTAAACGAGCTGACGTTGACGTATCCTCGGTCACCGTTGAACTCATCCACAATATCTCCGAGGTGGAGCATTTCCAGCTCCTCGACAAAGTATGGACTGTCTTTGACCCAATTTTCGACACTATTCGGAGATAGACGGTTGATACGAGTCCAGAATTTGAAGGTGTTATTGGTTAGCCTCGCAACGATCTCACGGGAAATGTCATCTTTACTTTCGTAAGCGAGTTCGGAGATGTTTCCAAAAGGAAGGTACCACCACCAATTTCGACCCATATCGGTGATACCGAGTCGGCGGATGGAGGGACACTGTTTGATGGCTTCCATCAAGTTCAACTTGACCTTCTTTGACAGGTTAGCGGCTCTAAAAGCGGCGAACGTACGGAGATTCGTCCAAGTGGGAAGAAAGTAGATGAGCGCATTGGCAGAGAAATTATCGAGAACAGTGTCCACAATGAGGTGCTCCAGTTTGGGAAACATTTTGGTGATTCGACTCAGGAAAACATGCGAGACAGTCGAACAAAAGTCGAGACTCAAGTCCTCAGTTGGATAGGCACTTGCTCTAATTGAGATCTTTTTGAAGGGCTTCAGATGGGTGGCAAAGAAACGCCTCGCCAGATCGTCCTTCTCGAATCCGGCCTTGAAGTAGATGAGCACATGTTTGTTGCGAGGGTACAGCAACTCGATGTTTTCCTTCCAGTCGCGGCAAGTTTCGCGAACACGAAGAACCTCACTGGGAGGTAACTTGCTAAATATTAGGCTCATCACTTCATTGGGAATCTTCTCAAGGTTAATCGTGAATTGCTCTATTTCTTCCACTTTTTCCCTCCTCTTCCTGTCCTTCTCGTGCTTGTCCATGGTGCGATTTGTGGGTTTGCAGAAGTTAACAGTTGGTT